TCCCACTTTAACTGTGCATACACACCCACAGGGGTGCACAGCACTGCATATAGCACAATGGCAGCTAGGGGTGTCCAGTGCACCCTCTCACCAAGACAGGTTAGACAGATTATTTTGGTTTGTTTGCAAGCTGGCTGGCAAGCTGAGCTTGGAATTTTTCTCTTTTGTTGTTTGACATGCGGCACCCTTCCATGTGCTCCTTGTTGTGAAGACCAGTTATTGACTGGGGCAGTGGCCATTTTTTGTACTGCTGAATTGTTGGTGGGGGGGCGCACTGGACACCCTAGCTGCCATTGTGCTACATGCTGGGTGTCCAGTGTGCTCCTATACCTTTAAGGAGAGGTGGTCTCCCTCATGTCCACCTGCCCTTGGTCTATCTATTAAATATGTGTGCCTCTACTATGGGGGCTCTCAAAATTTGTAGCAACTACAGAATATCGGGGAGCCGTGACGAGGCTCCGTAGCTTACGCATGTATTTGCAAAAGTGTGCTAACTAAACCCCTGTTTTTAACTCATACTATTAGACAGGTTAATTTGGTTTGTTTGCAAGCTGGCTGGCAAGCTGAGCTGGGAATTTTTCTCTTTTGTTGTTTGTCATGGTGCATTTCACTAGTGCCAGTACTGACTGCTGGTTACAGGTCTGAGACTACCTTTCCAACACAGGCCATGTCAAACAGGGTGGCTGCTGAAATTTATAAACTGTTCCTACTTTACTTGAACCTATACTTGCCACTGTACCCAACTGTCCTTCACAAGTCAGGGTCTGTCTGTGATAGCACATCTGTGTCAAAGATGGCCACCAAAATCTTGTAGAACTTTGATGCATATATTAGGCACCAGCTTTCCCAAGATGGACACCCAAGTCCATAACAAAGGACATAACAGTTTCCCTCTAACACCAGTAGTATAAGGCTGACATACAGTATGATCTCTGCAACATCTTCCCTAGCAAATCACTGACCTGGCAGGATTGGAAGCAGTGTTCTGGTACAATTCCCTGCCAACCACTCCCTTTTTTAATTCAAGGGTGTGCCTTAATTCTACTATTAAGGTAGCCTCCCAAAGTTTCTTCCTGCCCCCCCCGGGTAGATGATCGCTTGTTGGGGTTTTATAGTTAAGCCATGGCGGGACATCAAGAATATCATCCCAGATGTTTTCTGTTTGTAGTTATTCTAGACTGATGTTCCTGGAAAGCATTGACACGACTCTGGAGTTGTTTATGTTCTATGCATAAACCTCCTGCAGTAGTCACATGAAATCCATTTTGCACAGGGCATTTATGCCTAATAAAACTGGAACCTTTGGAGTGGTGAAACCATGAGGCCCATCTACCCAAATCTGTTCAATAGTTGATTAAATACTTGAATGGTCATCCGGGTGACTCCTACCTTTGGTATGGAGAGATTATTGTCAGTCTTTAGAGTGCACCTGGAAGGGTCTAGCACAGGGGACCAATATTCTTGTTGATAAAAAGTATTGATCAAATTTGTAATAAAGTAAGTTTTTCTTGCTGGTAAACCAACATTAGGTCAGCCGCTGCAGCCAATGACACAATAGGGGAGATCCCTGCATCCACATCACTTGTTGAATGCAGGGATCTGTGATTTTTTTATTTTTTATTTTTTGAATGAAAAAAAAAAAAAAAAACTTTACATGTATATCCTGCTTTACTTTAATCAGGCTCTGCACTGATATTAGAACTTTAAAAAACTCACTAGGGCTCTATTGGATATTAAAAAACATAGCAGCTAGCACAATACCAAAATACATATCATAATAAATATCACAAAACAGTGCAGTGCTAAGATAAATTAAAATGTGTGTGCAATACAATAGTGCAATGCAAATACAGTATATCAAACTCTTATGTGTCACCACAAATTGAAAACATAAAACGAAGTAATCCAAATGTGAAGCCAAAAACTGTGAATGCAGTGGTTTGTCGATTATGAGGGAAATGACAGATGTGGATACCAAACACCACCAAAATTCTTAATGATGAACCACACAGCACCTCAGTTTACAGCACAGGGAGACTTACCAGAATCATATGACCCCCAATTAAGAGTGGTCAAGCAGTGCTTGTGTATCAATCCAAGATATCCTGTTTTCCTCAAAACCACATGTCAAACGATGTTACTGCTGCAGGTGTTCATAAAAAAGAAAGACCACCAATTCTAGTGGTAAATGTACTTACAATAAAAAAATGACAATCAGGGACTTAATATCATATAAACAATTCATGTTCAAGAATCCAAGATGGCCGTGACGGGATCGCGTATGCGTAGTGTCATGTGTTCCATCTCTGCCCAAGGGTTCCTTTGAAGATAAAAAGATCTATCTCTAATGCTAGAAATAGGAAAGTTTCTAAAGAGAGGTCTGAATGGATTCTTGCCTCTGTTATCCCATTATTATTTCTAGGGTATGTTTGTTTCCACCCTGGTTTCTCTGATGTGCCCCACTTCCCCTTCTAGAAGCCCCTACCACACCATTTGTAGTTTGATCATTAGGTTGTGGTTGAACCCCATTCAGATTGCCAACAGTGTTATTAACCTCAACCTGCCATTTAAAGACAATTTTACTCCTCTAGTCAGTATATTAAATACAATAGAGCTATGACTGACTATAAGAGCAGAATTGTCTTTTTATTTGTGATTCTGTTAAGCCTCCCTCTGTTGTACACCGAAGTGCTGTGTGATTTATCATTATGAAGTTTGGTGGAGTTTGATATCAACATCTATCATTTCACTCATAATTGAACCACTGAATTCACAGTTTTTGGCTCCACATTTGGATCCCTTTGTTTTATTTTGTCAGTTTGTGGTGACACATAAGAGTTTGATATACTTGCACTGCACTATTGTATTGCACATACATTTTCATTTATCTTAGTGCTGCACTATTGATTCATGATCTGTATTGATATTGCTGTCAAAATTATATCATCTGTATGCACATGCTAATAGGTGGGCCCAGGGGCGGACTGACCATTCGGAAACTCGGGCACTGCCAGAGGGCCCGGGGTCAGTAAGGGGCCCCATGAGATGCCCCTGGTACCTTTCATAGGCTTTTTTGGGAGTGGTTTGAGTGTGGGCGAGGCAACAGGGGCCCCATGATCTCCTATTGCCTGGAGCCCCTCAACCTGTATGGTTGAGAATCCTGGGTCACCACCGTGATTTCCACCGTGGCAGGATACCGCACTGCCACAATAGATATATATATATATATATATATATATATATATATATATATATATATATACACACACAAACACACACAGGTGAAACTCAAAATTAGAATATTGTGCAAAAGTTCATTTATTTCAGTAATGCAACTTAAAAGGTAAAACTAATATATGAGATAGACTCATTACATGCAAAGCAAGATAGTTCAAGAGATGATTTGTCATAATTGTGATGATTATGGCTTACAGCTCATGAAAACCCCAAATCCACAATCTCAGAAAATTTGAATATTACATGCAATCAATAAAACAAGGATTGTACATAGAACAATATCGGACCTCTGTAAAGTAAAAGCATGCATATGTACTCAGTACTTGGTTTGATCCCCTTTTGCAGCAATTAATGCCTCAATGCGGCGTGGCATGGATGCTATCAGCCTGTAGCACTGCTGAGGTGTTATGGAAGACCAGGATGCTTCAATAGCGGCCTTCAGCTCTTCTGCATTGTTCGGTCTAATTTCTCCCATCTTTCTCTTGGAAATGCCCCATAGATTCCCTATGGGGTTCAGGTCAGGCGAGTTTGCTTGCCAATCAAGCACAGTAATCCCACGGTCATTGAACCAGGTTTTGGTGCTTTTGGCAGTGTGGGCAGGTGCCAAGTCCTGCTGGAAAATGAGGTCAGCATCCCCATAAAGCTTGTCTGCGAAAGGAAGCATGAAGTGCTCCAAAATCTCCTGGTAGACGGCTGCGTTGACCCTGGACTTAACGAAGCACAGTGGACCAACACCAGCAGATGACATGGCTCCCCAAATCAACACAGACTGTGGAAACTTCACACTGGACTTCAATCATCTTACAGTGTGTGCCTCTCCATTCTTCCTCCATACTCTGGGTCCATGGTTTCCAAATGAGATGCAAAAGTTGCTCTCATCAGAAAATAGGACTTTGGACCACTGAGCAACAGGCCAGGTCTGTTTTTCTTTAGCCCAGGTAACAAGCTTCTGTTGTTGTTTGTTGTTCAGGAGCGGCTTGACAAGCGGAATACAACATTTGAAGCCCATGTCCAGGATCCATCTGTGTGTGGTGGCTCTTGATGCACTGACTCTATCCTCAGTTCACTGCTTGTGAAAGTCCCCAACACTTTTGAATGGCCTTTTCCTGACAATCCTCTCCAGGCTGCGGTCATCCCTGCTGCTTGTGCACCTTTTTCTTCCACACTTTTCCCTTCCACATAACTTTCTATTAATATGCTTTGATACAGCACTTTGGGAACATCCAACTTCTTTTGCAATGACCTTTTGAGGCTTTCCTTCCTTATGGAGGGTGTCAATGATGGTTTTCTGCAAAACTGTCAGGTCAGCAGTCTTTCCCATGATTGTGATTCCTACTGAACCAGACTGAGAGACCATTTAAAGGCTCAGGAACCCTTTGCAGGTGTTATTGCTTAATTAGCTGATTAGAGTGGGATACTTTGAGCCGAGAATATTGCACCTTTTCACAATATTCTAATTTTCTGAGATTGTGGATTTGGGGTTTTCATGAACTGTAAGCCATAATCACCATAATTATGACAAATCACGTCTTGAACTATCTTGCTTTGCTTGTAATGAGTCTATCTCATACATTAGCTTCATCTTTTAAGTTGCATTACTGAAATAAATTAACTTTTGCACGATATTCTAATTTTGAGTTTCACCTGTGTGTGTTTGTGTATATATATATATATATATATATATATATATATATCTATTGTGGCTTGCGGTATCCTGCCACGGTGGAAATCACGGTGGTGACCCAGGATTCTCAACCATACAGGTTGAGGGGCTCCAGGCAGTTCTCATAAAGCAGAGGAAGCTGGTTTATTGGTTTCCTCTTTGGTTTGTAAAGTCTGTTTTGGGACCTGTAGCCTGGAGATTTGTAAGAGATTTGGGAGGGATGAAATCTCCAATCCTGGGCCCATGTTTTGAGAGCGAAGGAGAGAAGCGCCTCTAAGTGCAATAAGCCTCTTTATTAAAGTCTATCTGTAGAAACACTCACATGTGTAAAGTAATAATAAGCATAAAAACCGTAGTTAACAATAGTTAACAGTAGGGCGGTAACCCTGTTCCAGCCGAAAGCTGACCTCCCCACACCGCAGAGAGATGACGGCTCTTCACCCTGGTTACCACTCCACTGTTAACTATTGTTAACTACGGTTTTTATGCTTATTATTACTTTACACATGTGAGTGTTTCTACAAATAGACTTTAATAAAGAGGCTTATTGCACTTAGAGGCGCTTCTCTCCTTCTCTTATCTACAGAGCCTGCTACAGCTTATTTGGAAGCTTTTGCCCTCAGTGCCACACGGATTCCTACGCTCTTCATACAACAGCCACAACCACCACTATCACCCCATACTATTATTTCCCAGGACTTCCTGCAGTGTTAGCGCTGTTACAACCCTTCCTCATTTTTCTGAATCCATGTTTTGAGAGCAGCCAGCGTGCTGATTGCACAGTTGTGTGCAGGCCTTTTTGTGGAGGCCAGGCCATGATTCTGAGCTCCACCTCGGCAGACAGGAGTCAGGAGGGCTCCACCCTGGCAGGCAGGAAGTCTCTACCTTGGAGTCAGGAGGGCTTCACCTAAGAAAGGTGGAAGCCAAAATAGCTGTGTGCTGGAGGTTCCCTGTGTGCAAAAACAACCTTTGGGATGGAGTCTGTAGGAGACAGACATAAAGAGGTGTACCTGAGAGAGCCAGAAGGCTGAATGTCATTTGCATTTGTTTGATGGTGGATACCCCTGCGTGGGAAGCATTATTGGTTATTGAACTTTCTTTCAAATAAAATTGGGAAAAAAGGCCCTTAAAAAGAAGCGAGTTGCTGTGGGCTTTAAAAAAGTTCTACCATCTGAAGCGAGTTCTCACATATGGTGGAGGATGCGTGCAGAATTGGAGATCCCTGCAAAAGAAGTTCATCAGTTATATGAACTGTGTTTATGTGCAATGGACAGCACAATCTGTGTGTGCAGGTGAGGAGAACCTGCAAGAACAAAGTAACCTGCCTTAAAGAGACAGTGCTTCATTTCTTGGTTGCTGGACTGTGCAAAAGTGTTGTGAAGTGACTGTGAAGATGGGGAGGTCAAAACTCAAAAAAGAAGCAAGGATTGCTGAAATGAGAGACAGAATCCTGTGGCTGGGGGGGTTATCCCCAGAACGAGCCCCATACATGTCTGAACTGAGGTTGCCACAGTGGGAAACTGCTGCTGTTTCCCCTGGCAACACTGGTGAAAGGAGACCAGGTATGAATGTTCAGAGTACTAAGCTTGAAAGAGGATGCAGTGTTTGAAGTCCGGCCAAGATACTGCTGCAAGAGCGCTGTTTGCGGTGCAGTGAATGGGGGCACACTGTCTCCAAGTGCCCTTTATCCCAGCTTCCAGTACAAGGTGACACAAACAGACAAAGGTCTGGGTATGCAATTGGGAAGCCTGTTTGGAGTTCCAGGAAGGAGCAGCAGGCTGCCCAAAAGTTTCAGAAGAATGTGGTTGCCCATAGCAACACTTGTGACTTCATGCCTGCAGACCCTGTGAGAGAAGTGTCGTCTACAGAGGATTGTGTCAACGCAGAGATGAGAGATCAGCGCATCTGGAAGAACCCACAAAGTTCAGCTGGGAGAGTGCCATCTCCCATAGCAACAGGAGAAAGCAAGCCAACCAGGAAAAGGGGCTACAAGGGAGATGTGGTTATGTATCCCAAGAGTGTTATGTGTGGAAACGTACCCTGCCTGGAATGTGGTCAGTTTGGGCATGATATCTTTATCTGCCCCAGATTATGGAATACCACTGATGATGGTGCTACTGGGCAAAAAGTCTTCATCTGCAAGCCCAGATTCTTGTTTAAAAGTGTTGGCTGCCACCTCTGGCAACAGTTATGAAGTACCTGTTGTGCCTGCAGGGGGTGCCAAGGAGTCAGAAGTGCAGGCCACAATATCATCCTATAGCTGCATGGATGAAAGGGCTGGCCAAAGCCAAGCAGACGAGAGACTACGCACTCAAGTGAAGGCGATGACCCCTGCTTCAGGAAATAGTAAGACTGTTTCAATTTGTGGGACTGAGTCCAAAGAAGTGAAAGTTTGTCCTTCAGGGAGTTCCACAATACAGATGGACATGGACTGGCTGCTGTGTGCTACCCTAAGTAGTGGGGAGGCACAGGGAGAAGCCCAACGATCAGCAGGACTAAATATGGAAAAGGATATGGGGACTCTGCAGGTGCCTGTTATAATCCAGCAGATGGCTGGAGAAGTTAGACTAGGGGTGACCAAAACTGTCATGGCACCGTGTTCCCTAGTAACAGGGGCTGCATCCCGATTCCCTACTAACAGGGGAGCTGCAGAGATGCCCAGGGAAACCTCCCAGGAGCCCACAGTGACAGAGCAGAGGATTTCCCAGGTCAGCTATGGAGCTGCTAAAACAGAAAATAGTGCCCCTTTAGAAAGAGGGAGTGCTGTGAGGCATGGCTCACAGGCTGCTCAGCTGGGTAATAGCCAGGGACTACCCGCAAAAGCCGCAGTCATGTCTATATGCAATGAGAATGCTGATGGTCATGCCGACAAAAGGGTTACTGTTGGTAAATGTAATGTTATGGTTGGGGATGGGCTAGCACAGCTCACTAAAGATAACAGTGTTGATGTGAATATGATTAAAGATATGTTGTTGCCCTTGGCAACAGTATCCAGGGCTGCAAAGGTGTCCATGGAAACCTCCTGGGAGCTGTGTGTGTTGGAGCCAGAGGTTGCCTGGGACAACTATGGTGCTGCTCTGGGCAAGAGAGTACTTGAACCAAGTGATAAATTAAATGCTAAAACTGAAATATTTGAAAATGCTCATTGTGATAATGGGTTAACAGTCTGTCAGTACTGACCATAGAATTTATGGAAGTGTTCATGAGTTGAATGAAGCGCCATCAGAGTACGGTGGTGAGGGTGTGGTATTGCAACCTGTTGAGGTTAAAAATTTAGTGTCACAGTTTTGTTTGAACAAAAGTGATATATGTGATGTGTCTGCTGAGCCACTCTGTCCTGTGTCTCCTCTGGCAGTTGGTGCGGTACTGCGTAGTACCTCTGATTGGAGCGCAGAGAAAGTAGAGTGGGACAGATGGGCTGAAAACCTGTTGACTTTGTTGAAAGTGACCTCTGTTTCTAACAGTGGAGTGGACACGACTTCTGCTGTGCTAAATGGAGGGACTGCAGAGCAGCTTATAGACAAGGGCACACTTGCTATTGCTGCAGATGGTCTCCCTCCCAAAATGTAAGGGCCAAGTGAGATTGAGCACATAGCAGAGGTTGTGCCCACACCCCGCAAAGGATCCAATGGTGTGGTAATGAATAGTGTGATACCAAATGAGCTGGTGTTGGTGGAAGTGTCAGATGGCACAAATCAAGTGATTGGGGTCAGTAAACCAAATGTGGAATTATGTTATGAAGGTCAGGTGTCAGGACAGTTGCTGGAAGAGGTTCATGTGCCAGTGGAGCTGGTGAATAGTGACCTGGCAATGGGAGACAACCACTCCACTGTGTGCGCTTGGTCTCCAGACACTGCCCTGCCAAATACTGAAATGAGTTCTGACAAAGGTGAGGATGTTTCTGACCATGAGGAAAAGTGCAAGGCCCTTGTAAATGTTGATATTTATGATACTGATGAGGAAAGGTGCGAGGCACTGGTAAATCTCGATCATTTTAGTTTCTGTGGGTGACCATACGCCCAATGATGGACCTGAAGGTCATGTGGACATGCGTGCTGATAACCCAGAAACATGTGATGTGGTGGGTAATGATGTGGTAGACACAGCTGAGATAAAAGCTGCAGTAGAATTGGGCCCCCTACAGGTTCAGGAGGGTAGTCTGGGAAGGGAAACTTTAAATGGCTTATCTTCCCCGAGGGAAAACTTGAAGGAAGTGGAATATTTAAAGAGGGCCCCTGACATAAAAACATCTAAAGGGCAAGACAATCGGTCTGTCCTTCAGAAAGAGAGTAGGACATTGCTGTCGTCTGAGAATGTCAGGGACAAAAGGAAGCATGCAGTGTACAGGGAGAAACAAGCAGAGCTAAGTTTGGTCAGAAAGAAGATGCCTGTACATAGAATGCAGAGAGAGACTAAGGTAACCCAATAAAAGAGCCCACACTTTTTGTGTTTAAAAGCGTGACCCCTTCAAAGGTAAAGGGAAACCGGCTGTTGAAAGTGCAGCATAGCTTTAATGTTATCCGACTCCTAAAACTCAGGCGTCAACCTAATTCTCAGAAAGGTACCAAGTTTTGGAAGTTCCTTAATGGGAAGATGACTTGGGTGGCCCCAAGGAAAATAGAGAGACAATGCTTTTGGAAGCGAACCCCTAAAAATGCACAGTGTCTTTATAGAGGTCAAGTCAGTGTAGTAGGAGAACACAGGGAAAGTAGCTTCATAAGACAGAAAGGAAAGTTTCTCTCTGAAAGTGATGTCAGGAATGGGCTCATATGGGTGACAGCTCGCACAGAGGTGCCAAATTAAAGAGTTTGGGCTTGTGTGTTGTGCCCCCTACGGGATCAAAACAAAGGGGGGGCATATGTGGCAGTGCGGTATCCTGCCATGGTGGAAATGACGATGGTGACCCAGGATTCTCAACCATACAGGTTGAGGGGCTGCAGGCAGTTCTCATAAAGCAGAGGAAACTGGTTTATTGGTTTCCTCTTTGGTTTGTAAAGTCTGTTTTGGGACCTGTAGCCTGGAGATTTCTAAGAGATTTGGGAGGGATGAAATCTCCAATCCTGGGCCCATGCTTTGAGAGCAGCCAGCATGCTGAATGCACAGGTGTGTGCAGGCCTTTTTGTGGAGGCCAGGCCATGATTCTGAGCTCCACCTGGCACCCCTGGCAGACAGGAGCCAGGAGGGCTCCACCCTGGCAGACAGGAGGTCTCTGCCTTGGAGTCAGGAGGGCTTCACCTAAGAGAGGTGGAAGCCAAAATAGCTGTGTGCCAGAGGTTTGCTGTGTGCAAAAAACAACCTTTGGGAAGGAGTCTGTAGGAGACAGACATAAAGCGGTGTACCTGAGAGAGCTAGAAGGCTGAATGTCATTTGCATTTGTTTGATGGTGGATACCCCTGCGTGGGAAGCATTATTGGTTATTGAACTTTCTTTCAAATAAAATTGGGAAAAAAGGCCCTTAAAAAGAAGCGAGTTGCTGTGGGCTTTAAAAAAGCTCTACCACCTGAAGCGAGTTCTCACAATAAATATATATATATATTTGAATATTGATCAGTACTGATGGCCTATCTCATTTCTTGGGACCCTAAAATGTCAGAACAGTAAATATACCCCCAAAGTGACCCCTCTTTGGAAAGTAGAAAGCCAAAGGTATCTAGTAAGAGGCATGGAAGTTGTAATTTGTGTCATTTTTTGGAAAATGTAGAAATTAAATAAAATTTGTTTTTTTTCCATATTGAAAACCAGTGCAGCACAGCATCATCTGAGCACCGGGAACCATACTCAGCTGTGTTCAATGTACACAGTGATCATGAGTGCAGCTCACTGCACTCCCCAGTGTGTGTGTGTGAAAGTACTGTGGGCAGTACTAAAGCAGTTAAAGAAGTATAGCCAAAGCTATTTTGGCTATACTTC